GTGTGAGGGTCATCACTCTGTTTCTGTTTGGAGAAAAATGACCTGTTGCAACCGTCCCTTGTTGTTACTGTCCCCGGTCTCCCCTACTTTACTTACACGCCATTAAAAGAGCACAATTATAAAACTGCTTCTAATTTTACCTACATTTTAAAAACATGTTTGTTCTTGTGCTACTTGTTCACATCAAAGAAATAGAAAAATCCTCATTGGCAGCAGTTCTGGCAGAAAGGGGTTACGAGGTCCTACACAGAAATAAGAGGTTGTTACAGTTCACAAACATGGTGCAGGTTTCTCATCACAGAGCTGCTGACGTTGCTGCAGCTCTTCCATGGATGTTCAGAGACACAGAGATCCACACCTCAAAGCAGGGAAGAGGGCCACAACCTAAAGTCGCTGCCTGGAGTCCTGGCTGTAGCTTCCCGGGGATCCTCGGTTACGGTGAGGCTTGTACGAGTCCTGATAGGGGTCCTGGTAGTCCTCCTCCATCAGTGGAGAGTGGTCCCTGCTGTGCTGCGAGCCCGAGGACAGGCGGTTGCAGTTCTTCCGTGCTCGTTCGTTRTGATAGTTCTCGTCGGCAGGCATCAAGCTGTGGCGTTCCACAGGTGAGTGGTCTGTTGTTGTGTGGTTGCTGTTTCGGTTTCTTTGGGCCTGTTAAGAAAAGAAGGAGAAGAACAAAGTTCARATCTTTTAAAGTGAGGTTCTAAGGAAAGATTATGAASAGTTACTCTGATATCCACTGTAGAGAGTGCCCTGAAGGATCTCAGYTTGGATGAACTTAGTCTAACTGTCCAGACTGATGAGCTAATGGCTAGTCCCAGCAGGCCCAAAACAAAATGTATTGCTGCAGTCATAAAGCTGCTTCAAACTTAAAAATCTCAGAATAGTTTGTGTAAACTTTATTTTATAAACCAGGGCTATTCAACTGRCAGCCCSTGGGCCAGATGTGGYCTGCGAGTGACCAAAGTTCGRYCCACCAATTGGTTCATTCATCTCTTAAGCCCAAACCCTGGTTTTCTACTTTATTAATATAAGTTAGTTAAATAGAGACATGTTTGGTATCAGTGGCGAACACAGAAAATTTTCCATGGGGGGCAAAAACTCTAGTCAGGGTGGCAATGCAGGATCACTTCACTGAAGTACTGTACGTAGGACATTTCCTATATCTAAATAGAGTCAACAAAACATCTATAAAAACACTATGAAACACTATTTATTGTCCTTTTTCTCTTCTAAGAAACAAATATTATCTATCTATCTATCTATCTATCTATCTATCTATCTATCTATCTATCTATCTATCTAT